ACAGGGGCAAATTTAATCCAGCTGTCTTTCCACAGAGAAAAAAAATAGCAGAGAGATGGCTGGGCAATGTGGATGATACCATCATCATCTTGCAAGAATTGCAGGAAGCTGTAACCCTATGGACACATCTATTTTGTTTTAATCTCATCTACATGAAAAAATATCTTAAGTTTTCATACTACCATACTGCAAATGAACATCAATGTCTCAGTGAATTTATTTATGCATTTATTTGTCATACCTCGATAATTTTCTTTTAATGTGATGACAACGCATATCACAAAAACGTGGCTCTCATCTATTTGAATTTCCAGAAGCTAGAATAAAAAATTAGATTCTAGGGAGAGATGGTATAGCACTGATTCCAGATTCAATGGATTGATTTTTATCCACCAGTGAATATCTGGTTATTAGAAAATAAGTTAATAATTTCAGAAATATACAACATAAAAAACCAGCACTGAAAAGGGCCTTAGAATGTGTCGGTTCAATGCTCTTATTCTTCAGTTGGGGAGCCTAAGGCTTAGAGGGGATAAATGACTTCTTGAACGTCAGGAGCTAATTTCAGACAGAGCCAGGTCTCCTAATTCAATGCTTAACACACTCTGTTCTCAACAACAGTGCAATTAGACAATCATTAAAGGTCGGCAGAGCAGGAGATTCAGATCTTATACATCTTCTGTGCATGCTCACATTCACTCAGTGACATTTATTTCTGCAGCCTGTGGTTACAAACACAGTAAATACCAAACAGGCATGTAGAACCTATGTGGAAGAGCCGCAAGGCAACCCTGAGGCTGCGACACTACCAAAGTCATCAAATTTCATTTAGCCAGCAGGGCACTGATAAAGAGAAAATTTATTTGTAAACTAATGGTTTGCCCAAATAAATCAAGTAGAAACTAGTAAATTCAGATGAGTCTTGGTCTTTACACGAATACTCATTGTAGCCATGCATATTTTTTGGTCCATTCAAACAGTATTTGCTAAGCACCTATGTGCTAAGCATGGCTCTAGACATGGCCAGACAAGAGTGAGCAAGAAAGGCCAAGGACCTGTCCTCAAGAAACCGACAAGCAGCAGAATCAAAAAATAAACGATAAACAAATGGACTGTAAGTGCTAATGAAGAAGTTAAACTGGATGATAGTCATGAAAAAGGATTGATTTTTGGACAGGTGGCCTCTTTGAACAGGTGACATCTGAGCTATGATCTGTCTGATGAGAAAGGGACAGCCACAGTGAGGAGCGGAAAGAAGAGTACTCCAGGCAAAGGGGAAGGCTAAGGAAGAGGCTCTGGTATGGGAACAAGTCCGGGGTTACTGCACGACAGTAGGTAAGGAGGAGCAGGGTGGTAAAGACACCCACTGGGTAAGAGACTTGAACTGTTCTTTTCTCAAAGATAATGGAAAGACAAACCCCTCTTTAGAAATGAGTCTAAATGCCTCTGCCTGATTTATTATTTCACTATACACAGGCATGACTGACCTCTGCATTAGGGAAGCCATAGTGACTCTAAGTCATGTGTAACTTACTTTTACAAATTGAGTATAGAAAATGCGCCCCAGGTAGGTGCTTAAATGTGACTTTGCTCACAAGAAAAAAAAAATAGTTACAGCATTTTGACCACCTGGGATTCAGACATGCCCTTTGTTTAAACCTGGGTGGGTCACAGATACATTATCATGTGGTTGACCTTGGCCAGCAGGTAAAATCTAGACGTACTAAGGTTAAATTTACTCATTACTATTGAATTAGTCAAATGATAAAAATTCTTTCAAATAAGTGATGCTATTTTTTTTCTGGTATTAGTGCAAGTTATTTACATAGCCTGCGTGTCGTATGTAGAAAATTGCACATATATATGTGCAATGATCAATAATTTATTAGGAATTAGGCAGCTCATAGGTAACATGACTATGCATATAAATACAAAGACCCTGGGCCACCTAAGGTTGGAGGATATGGACCAAGTACCTAAATTCCAGCTTTGCAACACCGAACCTGTGTGCTCAAGCCTGGCAACATCCTAACCCTGTCTGAATCTCATGCCTCTCTCAAAAATATAGGTTACGACACCTTACTAAGTTGACGAGACAATGAAACAAAAATATCTAAGTGTCTGGCATATAGAATAAACTCAATAAAATTCAGCATGTTTCTCTCATTTCCCTAATGTATTTTCCTAATAAAGGTAGTAGCATTTACAATATGGGAACAATTATCACACAGATTTCATTCGTCCGTTTTAATGAAAATTTTATGGTATTTTTCACATACAAAAAGGAGGTAGGACAAAGAAACTGTTTCTAAAGCTCTTCATACATCAAACTCTGAATTAAGACCTAGTTTTCTAACTGTTCCACTGCCTGGCATCATCCCATTTTGATTGTCTAGTTTCTCTGCAGTTTCCACTGTGCGTCCTTCATCTCAGACACAAACACGTGCCCAAGTGCAGTAAATCACAGTTAATTGCATGTCTTAAATTAAAAGACAAAATAATGCACAATTAATTGGGGGGAAATTGTCAGTTGGTGAATGCATCTCGCTCATTATACTTCATGCACAGGATGCACACCAAGTGTGTGTTCCCAGCAAGAAAGTTCAGTCTCTGACAGTGAGGGGAGGGGCATGGCACAGCCTCTCTGTAGTGCAATCTGGTCTGAGAAATTACATGCTCTAAAACACTCAACATCACAAGGGCAGCACACACAGCTTTCTCTGCAAGGGTGGCCCATACAGGACTGTGTACCATAGTGAATAATTAGAAAGAACTAGAATTTTAGCTGATATAGATGAAATAAAGAGACAGCTTTGGCCAGTAAGAGAAAATCCTTAGATATGAATTTATCATATTTGACAAATTGAGAAAGTGTTCATAACATATCCTTATGTGAAAATGATTTACAAAACAATAGGTTTGGGATGTATGTTTTTTAAACTCTGATTATTTAATAATACTTTAAAAATGTATATTTTTATTGATTTTTAGAGAGAGAGGAAGGGAGAGAATATGAGAGAGAAACACGAATTGGCTGCTTCTTGCACACCTCTGACCAGAGATTGGGCCTGCAACCAGGTCAAGTGCCCTGAACAGGAATCGAGCCTGCAACCCTTCCGTGCATGGAACAAGGCCCTACCAACTAAGCCACATTGGCCAAGGTGGTAAGTTTGGTTTTTGAGGATTTATAATAGGTGGAAGAAGCAAGAAAAGAGAGAAGGAGAAAGGCACTTGGAAAAGACACAAAGTGTTAATATTTGTTATCTCTGAGTTGTTTATATTTTCTAAATTTTCTCTAAAATTACATTTCAATTTATTTCTGAGTCTGATATTATAAAGTCTGTTTTAAAGATCCATAAGAATCTTTTAAAATAAATGTAACTGTTACAGTAAAAATATCATCGTAAAATTTAAAAATAATCCCCAGTAAACATCTACATACAATTCTATTACACTCTTAGTTATACAGACAAAACCAACTTTGTAAAAATATATTTTTAAAATATTAAGAAAACCATGTTTAATAAAATTGAATGTTTAATACAATAATTTGTTCTAACATATACCTTATAGTATATTAACACACCAAAGAAAATCACTATAAATCCTTATTAACTTACTGACAAACTACAAATATGTTCACAGCATATTCAATAACCTTGAATGTGAGGAACTGCAAATCTTCTTTCCTCCTACCTATTTTCCCATTATTTTCTACCCTGTCATAGAAAGACCCAGTATTGTTCTGATGCTAAAATCTGCAATAAACAACACACACACACACACACACACAGACGTCATCATTTTTATCAAACCACATGAGGACAGATAACAAACTTTTGTAAAATACAAATGCTAACTTTTGTTGTATTGCAAATTTAGAAGAAAAGAATACACAACACCCAACAGAGTAGGTTCATTCCAAAGTTATTAAATAGTCTACTAACCTTGAAATAAGAAATAAACATTGCCTGCTTTCTTTTATTTTTCAGGAGGGGTGGGGGCAGAGTGAGAAAATATAATCATATTTCAGCAAAAGCCCATATCTCAACCTCAGGCATCTTTATATCCCAAGGGTAATATTTCCATTCCACTCTTAATGGAACAAATTTCTAATCAGAATATGTATTCAAAAATAATTGAGGCAATGCAATGACAACACATCATGCTGCCATCAGCATTCCCTGGTGTTAGGAATCAACTCAGCAGGCTCTTTGGTGTGACAGAGAGCCAGGCAATGCAGAAATGTCAGACTTGGTGAAGGGAGGGGAGCGAGCAAGGACAATGCAACCACTTTGCCTCTCTTGGGTGCTCAAGAAGGTGTTTGGAAGAAAGCTTCTGTGCTGGAAGTTGACAACCTTCAATTGTTTAAGTAAGAGATGACTTCAAATGGGTCCAGACAGGACCTCAACTTTCCAATCAGAATCAGTGTCAACTTTTACAAAATTATTGAGAATTTCTAAAATAATAGTCACTTCCAAAAAGGTTAATACCACCCCTGGATTTTTAAATTATTAAAACCTTAGGCACCGTATACTATTGCATATATTTTGTGATGCCCTGAAAAAGTCCAGAGGCTTACATTCAGGTTTCCTCAAGTGTGACAGTATATTGATCATTGTTGCAGCTAGATGAGTAGTGGGTGTTCATTATACTAACTTTCTACTTTTAAATGTTTAAAATTTTCATAATAAAAAGTGCAAAAAATTAGATTTCTTTCAATATATTTTATGTTCAAAATCTTACTAACTTTTCCTTAGGAAATATATAAGATGTGATTTATGCTTATGATTACTTAAGACTTGAGCAAGTGGTCTGAAATTTTTAAAACTCCACCAAGATTGATGCTGATCATAAAAAAAAAAAATTGTTCATTCCTGAATAAATTTTACTGTGATCTATCATGCTAGAAGAAGTGCACCTAAACAAACGCAGTGCCACCATCTGCCTGGCATTCGCACAGTGTGACAAAATAGACTAGTAATTAACTGCTTTCCTACCGAAATCTGCCAGCTTTAACTCCCCCGTGTCACTGATCAGAAGGTTCTGTGGTTTCAGGTCTCTGTGCAAAATATAACGCTGGTGGATGTAAGACAGCCCTCGCAGCAACTGAAATAAAAACAACTGAAAAAATAGGGAGATAAAAGTTAAAATCTGAACACACATAAATGCTCGTTTCTACATACAGTCTGCCAAGTACTTGTATTTAGTAAAAATGGGTACGTCCCCCCCAACCCCATCATTAAATTGTCTACCAAATTATTTAAACAGAATGTGCATGGAGGTATGGAAGTCCCTCATTTATTAAAAACTGAATCTGAAAATTTCTAACAACCCATCATGTCAACCCAGTGATACCTCCTCAACCAAAGAGATCTACAACCTAATCTGTGTTCTATAAATTAAGCAAGATGTAAAGAATGTATCTTTATAATATCTGATTTCCTTAGGCCTTAAATTAATGTTTGAGATAGAATAAAAATCTATCCATATCGTTATTAAGAGAAGCAAAATATTTTACCAAGTTTATGTAAATGTGCACATATTTAACTCCATAAACAGGATACCCAAGGATTCTCCCATTAACATGCCTTAAGGAATGAAAAGATAGATGATTTCAAATAATTAAAACAAAAACAGTCACATGGTCCAATTAATACTACATTGTAATTACACTGTTTTTGCACATATGGCCACAGAGATTAGGCCATTGCCTAAAGACAGACATGCACCTTCACTAATTACAGAGCAGACCCACCCAAAGGGAAAGGAAACTCAGATAACAGAGAAATCAAGAATTCAAGAGTAATACTTTTTTAAGAAATCATTTTAAGAAGCCACTGATGGCCTTCTCTGTTTAGTTTCATATTAGATCATATCAAATGTGTCTATTTTGGTAACAAAACACATGTGATTCGCTAGGCTTTCCAATATTCTGTTTATAAAGAAAGGAATATTTTTAAACAATCTATTTGCCAAAATATTCCTAATTGGCAGAGTTTTTAAAAACCAATCTCCTAAAACAAAAATAAAAACAAATGTTTTAAGTGCCATTAGTGTTCTAGTCTATACAGTCAGCTTAGTAACAAAAGGCAGGATCAGGAAAATGTTAAACATTTAAGTTGTGAAAGATTGATGGTATCGGGACTCCCTAACATTCAAATGGAAAAAAAAAAAAAAAGGCAACTCCTTGAGGGCCCTGCAAGTGAGCATTTGTGGAATATTTTCCATCTAACCAGGGGCCATAAAAGCTGAGTCCATTGTTTACAGGGACTTGAGATTAACAGGATGAGGAAGTCATTTTAAAATCCCTGGATATGAAAGATGCTGTGGAACAGACGAGACCTAGGATCATTATTTCCAGAATCTAAGCATCCCCAAGTAAAAGTCTCTTCTGTGTTGGACTACATTAAATGATTGGCTCAGGAACCTCAGGAAGCAAACATTTCTAAGCCGCCTCCTCTCCATCCTCCCCCTGTCGCAGATGAAAAGACTTAACACCTCCACCGGCAGCTTCCAGCCTCCTTCTTCACTTCTAATAGGCCCTGCATCCTGAAGCCTAATGCTTACAGTTTCTAAGAAAATCCATATTCCTTCAGTTCAGAAAGTTAGAAGAGTGAGCAAGTGAAGCCACTTTGCTTCTTCAAAAGCTTTTAAAAAAAGACGGACCACATAACCAATAAATTTAACTTGTGAGCACACAATGTAACAGTATACAGATGACGTATTATAGAATTGTACACCTGAAGCTTATATAACGTTATGCACCGATGCCACCTTAATAAATTTAATTGCATCTTGAAGACTTTAAAAATAATAACCTGATTTTGAAGAGAAAGTTGGGCATTTGGCAAGGTGCTAACTAATTTGAGGGGCGTAACGGAGACTTCTCAGAATGTGATTGTCTATCCAGCCGTGGCCATGCATTTTAGTTTAACAAACACATGCCAAGTGCCAGCTGCCATTCTATGCATCACAAAATAGGAGGTCATTTCATCTCTGTAAGAATTTTAATGAGGAAGGAACTTCTATCATGTCTGCATTAATGAAGAGGAAACAGAGCAGTTTCTCGGAGTCACAAAGCAATTAACTGGCAGAGCCAGGACCCAAACCAGGCAGTCTGGCTCCAAAGGCCAGGCCCTTAACCACTACACTATAGGAATCTTGGCCAGAAATCAAAACAAGAAGGCAAAGTGTTGCTATAGACACTGCTTTGCAGGATAAAGTCTGGACATTTAAAACCATGGCCTTCAAGGCCACTGAGCTGAGCCTTCATCCATCTGAGTGCTCAGGCATCATCACTCTACATTCGCTGACTCCAAGCAATCTTGTTCACCCCCACACTCAGAGCATCCTATCTTTCAACCCTTATTTTTATTCTTAACTGATCTCTGACAAAAAGCCCTCCCTCCTCTTGGCCTGATAATCTCTATGTATATCTTAGATCTCTCCTCTAGAATGACTCCTCCCTGACCATCTCCCAGGCCTTCACTCCCCTACAGATCTCCATGACGTGCTCCTGCTCTGGGCTCCTATGGCAGCCTCTGCACATGTCTACGGCAGTGCAGCATTATCCTACCTGCCACAGACATGTGCCTTAACCATCTTCCTAATCTGGTACACAGCTGGCACTCCTATGCCAGTAATGAACTGAACTTAGAGACTTCCAGATGAAGCTGATACAAAAATGGCAGGGAGGAAATGATGGAATAGAATTCTCTAGAAGCTAAGTGCAGAAGTGGGTACATCAAACAGTCCCAAGAGGCTCTTCTTTTAATATCTTTACTAATTAGTGAAAACATATAATCCACATGCGAATACAGAAGCTATCCAAATAAGATATCATATAAAAGGAGATTACCAAAATCAGTGTTGGGAAAGGATGCGACTACGCACTCCAATGACAACTGGACAGAGTAAACTCCAAACATGACAAATAGAGCCCAAACATTAAGTCATAGCCACAGACAAAACAAGAACAAATCCCCATAGGATAGATTCACTCAGGATTTACGAAGTGCCATGGGGCAGGTGCTGTTATGCAAGAGGTATGCAAAAATGAACAGAATATAAGATGTAGTGCCTGCACTCAGGAACTCACAGCCCCTGGGGTGTAAGGGGGCAGATAAACAGATAATCACCACTTAAGGAGATATGCACTGTAACAGCTACACAGACTGAGTGTACTGAGGACACAGAGGAAAAGGGATCTAGCAACAACAGCAACAAAAATGTAGAACTGATCCTGCCATAATATGAAGAGTATCCCTATGGAAGGGATGAGTAATAGGAAACTTGTCACTCTAAAAGCAGAATTCATTACACATAAAATTTTAATAGAAAATCAAAGATATCATTCACTAGATGCACAAGTTGAAATGATGTCTTATATGACAAACCCCTTCCTTTTTGTGAGAAAATATTGAGGAAACTAAGCAAGCAGATCATCAGACAAATTAAGAAAAAAAAAAAACTTAGATAAATGAAAAGATAATATATGAAATTGTAAATCTACCAGTTCACCATCATAAAAGTAATGGTGACAAGAAGACAACAGTAGACTTATTGAAAACATTAGAAATAACATTCGACTGCACTCAACAGGGTACGTGCTGCTGGCTAAGGGTGGGAAGGCTGCAAAGAAGCAGAGGCTGACTTAAACAGAATGTCCTAGGGAATGTTCTTTGGAAATGTCCTGAGAACTCAAGTCTTGGGGATTTCTTCCTTTAGACAAGCAGGCAAGTACCTAAGTTTCCCGTGTACATTTTTGAGAAAGCTAGTTCACTTGCTCATTGTATAAATTACCACACAAGATACACTCGATCTTGGTGAAAATCAGAGGACAGCATGAGAACAGGAGGGACCACCAAAGAGGGGTCCCATGCAGAGGAAGGATAAACATTCACCCCTGGTATTTGCTAATAAAACTTAGTGACCATGAGTGGAATCTCAATTCCCAAAAAGAAAAGAAGAGGGACTTATACTAACTGAAGGCTTACTCTAGTTTCAATGCTGGTCCGAGCACTTTTACATATATCATCTAATCCTGTCCATCTACAACCCTGTAGTTTTCCATTTCTTTGAAACAAATGAGAAAACCAAAGCTCTAAATGCTCAAATTCATCCAGCCATCACACAGTGCTTATGAATTTTCCACTATCCCTCATTACCTTAAATGAGGTTGATGATTAATAAATGCACGGATGAATAGTTATACACCCAATATAAGCAAAGTACTTTTATTAAGCGAACCCAAGTTGCTAAGTCTTGATTAGCAAGTTATGTAATGAACATGTGATTCCTGAATTTGTTTTTGCTATTTCAAAACCTCTTAGAAATAAATAACATGGCAGAAGACAGCTATTGTACTGAAGTTGATAATTAACATATTTGAAACACTCCTCCTGTCATTTTACTATAGTAGCCATAGGTCTTCCTAAGAATGCCTTATCACCTTAGAATAGTCTACTCAACTTTATAAAAGAGTATTCCTCCAAATTCTTTGGTATGATCACTAAAGACTTATATTCTAGTTTGAATATGTTCACTGTCTGCAATAAAAACCCCAATGGGAAAATGCCCTAAATGGCAATGATATGGTGAACACCTGCCACCAACATGTCTATCTGTAGCCCAGTTGTCGTGCCATCCCCAGCAGGAAGCAGCTCATATTCTCAGTGCCATGACGTAGGCTTCTTGGGAACAGCTTTTAATACTTTGTCTATTCCCTTCTGAAACTCTTTAGACTTTAAGTAGATAAAACATATCAAGATAACTTTTTTGATCAAAACTTTTAGAATAAGTTGGTAATAAGCACACATTATTGGACTCAATATGTTGCATTTATTACTGATATTTACTGGCACTTGCAGTAAGCAACACGTTTTATATTTTCCTCTCCTTCAAAGGCTCAGGGTGAGTGGTCAGATGTTCTTTGTCTCACTGTTTAGAGTCGCCGAGTTCCAGGAATGGTCTGAAATACATGTTATTTAATATATGTGGTTCCACTTACTATGAGACTAAGCATGAGTCAACTTCCTTTAAGAAATACCCAGGTTCTCTTAGGACTTATAGGAGGCTTATAAGAGCCATCAACAATGAACTCCATGGCTTATGGCACATGC